CTGTGCGTCGTGGCTACAGGATTCTCTTGAGAATTTTGGAGCATAATTTAACCTATAAAATCTAAAATGTTTGTTTCGGGCTTCTGACGCTTCTTCTGATAACTATAAATTCCACATGAAATGAAGTAATAATGTATTAAATTCGGCAAAAGGTTAAAAAAATTTGTCAAAATTATTATTTTTATATTTTAGGGTACCATCACCCTTAATCAACCCTTTGAAATGCCTCAATTGATCTCAAGTTGAAAATCCGAAAATTTTCAAATTAACATAACATATGTTAATTTGAAAATTTAGTAGAAATGTTCAGTGATTACAACAAACTTTGTCACAATTTTTTTTATCGAGCGGTTGCGAAGATATCGATCTCTAAACTGAGGGGCCTTGACTTTTTGCACCGATAGTAAATTGATATTATCTAACTAAAAAGTTTTTGATATAAAAAATTGTTTCAGGAGTTCAACTAAAGTCTACTTTGTTCAAATATAATATTTTTTTATTCCACAATACGTGTACAGGGTGGTTCAAATTCGATGTCCGAATAGGGTAACTCGGAAACTATAAGACTTAGAAAAATAGCTTACATGTCATGATCTCGTTTTTCGAGAAACTGTTAATGCCGAAAACCTCACAGTGCTATCGTCTTTTGTATTTCCCCTAGAGGCCAAAATTGAAAATATTGTAAAACCAGCAAGTGCTTCGTTATCTTCGTTATTGTTATAGGTGGAGTATTATAACTAAGACATTATATGGAAACTTTTTTACGGAGAATTTGATGAAGTAACCAAAAAAATTTTTTCGGTTTCAGATTTTGAGATATCATGACAATTTTTGTTTTTTTAATTATTAAATTAAAATTATTACTTATAAAATTCGTTATTTTTTCTGATTACAAAAACATGGGGTTAGATAGGTCTGTTTCTTATTGTTTTAAAATAAAGCTAAAAATAATTTTTTTTTAGTGTCGTCAAAGAAATTAAATTTACAGATTCCTGTAGATTACGGTACTATAAAAACCAAAAATTATACTATAGTAGAAACCACGAGAGCTGGCAGTGACAGATCGCTTAAAAATGGTATGAATCAAGATATGGACGTACGACTTAGATTATTTCACCACATACATTTAAATGTAGGTTATGTTAGTAATGGAGGTTATATGTCAAACATTGTCAAAGATATTATTTAATGATTTTCCTTTCAAAGAAAACATTTTCGGCTTGTGAAAACACTAACAGATTCATGACAACGCTCACATGACGTTTCGATTTTAGGTTATAACTATAGAGTTACATCCCTTAGAAGAACAGACGTACTTTTTCGACGTGGCCATTTGAATTGTACAGCAGACATATTAAACTAATGCTATCTCTTTCTAACACACATTACTCTCTAGCGGTTTGTGAGCTACGTATGGCATTTGTAAGAGCGGAACACGATGATTTACTGCCAGCTCTCCTGGCGTCTACTATACTAAAAATTTATATAAAATTTACTTTATTTTCTAATATGTAACATTCTAACATGTTAAACCAGAACAATTTTCATTTGGTTCATTTTTATGTAAAATGAACCGTTTTCGAGATAATCGCTTGTCTCACTTTATAGGGATCACTCTGTATAGTTCTAACTTATTTCTATATCAAAGTTTCATAGTTTTCTATTTGTTATCTAGTGTCGTCGAAGAAATGTAGTAGAAAAGTAGAAAAGTCTAACATGTTAAACTTTTCGTAATTTTCGTAATTCACCTTAAAAAACACGATTTTTAATGTTACACTTCAGAAAATTTTTGAATACAAACAAATGTTGCTTTGATGATAAATAATGTTTATTTGAATTCGTAAAAAATATATGAGCGCCATCTATCAATAATTTATTAAATCATTTAATAATAATATTAAATATTAATAAAAAATATGAAATAATGCAATCTATTCCAACTTTTGTGTAAACGAAATATAATTATTAAATAGTTCAATAAATATATTTGTTTCAAATATCAGAAATATGTTTTTTTTTTAATTTTTAGTTATAGTACCGTAATTTACAGAAAACTGTATTTCTGTAATTCTCTGTAAAAAAGTGTCCATATAATGTTTTAGTTATAATACTCCACCTATAATAATAACGAAGATAATTGAACTTACTGGTTTTACGATATTTTCAATTTTGGCCTCTAGGGGAAAAACAAAAGACGATAGCGCTATGAGGTTTTCGGCATTAGCAGTTTCTCGAAAAACGAGATCATGACATGTAAGCTATTTTTTTTCTAAGTCTTACAGTTTCCGAGTTAGCCTATTCGGACATCGAATTTGAACCAGCCTGTACTTCCCCCGACAGATGTTTGTAATAATTGAAAATCACTGCTTCAGTAGATGGCGGGTAGATGTCTTTGTATGGATCTCAAAATGACATTTTAACAGTGCCGATAACTTTATTCCATTTCTTTTTAATTTGGTACAAATAATAATATCCTTACATAAATAGGTAATAGATGGCGCAGGCTTCATTAGAAAATTTACTGATTCACTTCACCACTACTGATCGTCTGTGGATCACTGATTGTATGTCGAAATTCCCCCGTAAGATGGCATTAGGTCTATACTGAAATAATTTAATTAAACTAACAATTTTATTATTAATAGTGGGAATGATGAGAGACAGCAATAACAATTATTGCCAGTAGCATTCTTTTAATTTAAAAAGTATAGATTCCAATTCGTTTTATATTTTTAAATTTGCCGCTAACTTCAACTTTTAAAAATTGAAGTTTGTTCAGAATGACAGATGAAAACGTCATTTTAAAGTGATTTTTCGGTAAGAGTATAATAAAGTAATAAGGGTAGGATTAAATAATTAGATTATAATTGACATTATAGCATTGTTTCAGCTAACGTTATAACTGGTTGGAAGCTTGTCAGATGCAATCTCACATGTCATATGATGCAGTAATATTCAAATGTGGCGGATTTATTTGACAGGTGTAATAGCCATAGGTAATTGCATCTGAGGAATTCCTAACCAGTCGGAACGTTAATTGGAGCAACATAATAGTTGAAAACCACTTTCCAAGCACTATTATTATTATTATTCTGTGGTTGGAGCTTTTATATACGAACCCAATCCACCTGTATTCTAGTGGTTCGGTTCTTAGCTGAATAATTCCAAATATCCCCAACAGATGGCACCACATACGTTCAATTTTTTTTAGTACGAAGTTTTTGTTTAGAGAGTTGCATTTCTTCGAAGCTATTTTCTATGATCGTCTTCACCCCAAGTTACGGTAATTACCTGCATACCGTCTTTGCCAAAAAATATATTTAAGAAATCTTCCACATCGCCGAATGATAAATCGGTTTCTTTGAATAGTCAGCGTTGATAGGTTTCTTATCATCAACTTTACTCGTATATTCGATACATGCTTTGATTATATATAATAATAATAGACTCACAAACGCAGGTGAAAACGAAACGCAATTACGAAACGCGCCCGAGAAAGGAATTCCTTTAAAAGCGGCAGCACCCGAAGAGAATCTATTGCATCGCTTTAATGGAATCTGAGGAATTAAATGAGAAAATTATGTTAAAAAAATTGGTTTAAAAATTACTTATATTAATTTATAGTTAATATCCTAACGAAAATACGAATATGATAGTGTATTGGTGTATGCAACCAATATCACAGATCGCGTATTGCAATACGGGTATTGTGATATTGGTTGCATACTTGGGTACGATAATTAATTAATTAACACACTGTAGTAAAAGTCAAGATTAAACATATAAAAATATATGTAATATGTAATAGAAAAGAAATCATATAACGTAAGTTCATTTTATGAGTTAATTTTATTTTTATGAAGCTTTAAATAAGAATAATGATATAATCTTAAATTTTCCTTATCTGTAAATAAATAGATGGTTTAACACACGGTGATAAAAAAGAATCAAACAAATACCTATAAACATCAAGATTAAACGTTCTTAGACTTAGGATCCTTCAAGAAATTAATTTTATAACGAATTTTGAAAATTATCGATGAAATTTGCAACATCGAAAATTTTATCAAAACTTTAAATATCATTTTCTGGAAAACTAAAAGTTATTTTTCAAAACGGGTTGGTTCATTGGAAAGAGGACACTTTTATTAACACTTCGGGAAATTTTCGTACTCATATTCCAAGAAATGGATTTTATACGATTTAATCGGCGAAAATTGCAAAATTCGAAACAAATTTCAAAAATTTATTTCTCAAAAACTAAAAGCGATTTTTCAAAACGGCTTGTTGCATTAAAAAGAGGATACTGTAATTAATAATTGGTGATATTTCCAATTCAAGAACCATCAAAAGTTATTGAACGACATAGTGCTCCCGTTTTTAATAGCAGTTTGAGGCATCTTCCTAACAATGAAGCCCTTTCATTGCTACCCAGAGAATTAATCATAAAATAACCTAATGGTACTTTCCAATTGTCATTAAGAGCTACTGCCATAAATACCAAAGCATTTTTGGCAAGGGGTAGCTCGTCTGTGCTTTCTGTGCTAGGTGGAAGTCCAACGTCAATAAATTCATAAAATCTATTGTTAGCCCACTGTAAATATTCTCTAATTGAAATTTCATCAAGTACAACATTAACAACAGGTTTTTTGCATCGCCTTGCTTTCTCTGCAATAGCATTAAAAGCCTCCGTAGAAAAACCAGCATTACCATCAACAGTACAATACCACTTCCTTAAAGTTGCTACATGTGGTAGTAGGTTACCAAACACTTTACGTATATATTTATAAGCTTTTGGCGAGTAAAAATGTAAAGTCAATGCAAAACTTCTTAATGCAGGAGAGAATTTTCCTGTTTTGCTTTGAATCTGTCTCTTAATTATTTCCTTTAATGAATCTGGTCTTAAGTTGTTGTCTATAAATAATGTTGTTTACTAAATTGATTTACAATAAAAAGTGACTACTGTTTCAATTCTGTTCAGTGGAATAATAATAATTATACATTCTTTCATACATTTATTTATTTATTATTAACACTATAGGCACAGAAACGGGACGAACCCACAAACTCTGTGTCACAAAATAATACAAAGACAAATCACTAAAAAACAATGTTAAACCAAAATTACATTAACAGTATAAGGAGTTAATTGAGTTAATACATAAAAATAATAACAATAAAAATAAAAGGATTGACTTTACAATAATAAGACATTGCAAAAAAACCTCATTAACGAATTACTTAAATTAATTGATCAGCTTTAAGCTTACAATATGCAATTACAATATGCTATAATTTTTTGTAAATACCTGTATGATTCTGTCAGCTTCCTCAGAAAGCATATTTTTTTGCTTTAAATGCTTTATAAGTTCCTCAAAAGATTTTATTTTATTGATAAATGTCCTTTTCCGTCTATTCATCTTAATAATTTTTTTCTTCATAGCACTAATTTTATTAATAGCCAAAGAAAAATTATGTCTTGCTCGTCTTGGTGTGAGAAAACCAGTCTCTAAATCAACCTGCTCTGGGTGACATGGACGCCATATAGTTCTTTTCTTCTTTTTTGGATTACATCCCACTACTTAAATAAATAATATAGACACAAAGAAATAACTAATATTTTTATACTTACAACTATGTTGCAAAGTAAATGTTTGTTCTTTCAAATTAGGCATCTTAGGTAATTGTTCTTCTGAATTAGGTGAAGTAAGTGCTTGTTCTTCCAAGTTAACAGAAGAAGATGAATGCTTCTCTTGTCTTTTATTACTGATCTGAGTCCTTTCATCATCAAAATTTAATTCTCTGCAAGTTAAAATATTATATATATAAACTGCTGTTTTAAAAATAGTCTGCGAAATGAAATCCCCACATAGTAAAATTGATTTAAGACTAAAATCAATAAATTTGCATCCGTTTGGTCTCCATTTACAAGAATTTTCTTTTGCAGACTACCTCTCAAACATATCATACAATATAGGCAAGTAGTGAACCAAACTGAATCCAATAACTCTTTTTTCTCTCTGGTTTTGTTTTGTAGATATTAAAAAACCATTTATTACTTTTACACTAATCGAACAGTTACACTGATTATTCTATATTTACACACAGAAAGATATATACAGAAAAATTATTCTTTCATTTTGACTAAAATTCAATGTTTGCACAGATTTCAGTTTGTACCAATATGCTTGCATTGTCCCGTATTAAGACATTTTCTTTACCTTTTACAATCTTCAATCGGTACCTGAATGAAAGTTGGGACACTTCCTTTTCGTAAGGTTTTACGACCACATATCGTATCCTCTACAAAGCAGTTATTTTCAAAGTGCTTGCCACATATTTTTGTATTTTTAAAAATATCATCTTCCTCGAAAGAAAATAACCGCAGCCAATGCTGTCGTACGTCTGGGTCTTTCGGGAATCTACAAATACGATACTTATATTAAATGTAAATTTTCCAGTTGCGTAAAACGTTTGATTTATAAGATAAAAAACTATCAATTAGAAGTAACATTTATAATACTTACAGGTGATGTGAAACTGTATTATCGCGAACTTTGCACACGAAACAATACATTTTTAAACATAACAAAACGATAAACGTCAAATGGAAGAGGTTTGACACTTTTGTGCGCATGCGCCCGTCTATTTAGTACCGTTTTATGTCTATCTTTGTTACACTTTCACATTATCGCTTTCCATCTGCGTCTATTCACCTTGAGCCACATTTTTGTTAGTAGATATATTCAGTTAGCTCAATCCATATTATATA